AATTAACCATTCAGAATTGGACTCTACATCAGCTAGGCAGAGGCTCTCAAGCCTGCTCTCAGTATATTCATGCTTTGGTTGAGTTGCATTCCGTCTGTCCCTGTGGTTCATGTGATGAAGTGCAAAGAAACCCCGTTTCAGTTATTCCTGCTATCCATCAGGTCAGTAGGCAGAACCATGCTCGACCCGTTTTATTCTGTAGTATTTCTGCATCAGTATTCTTGTTGACTATCTAGAAAATGGGGACTTTTGGGAAACTTCATTTATTAAACCATTTATTGCTTCAAGCATCATTAGTAGACTTTAATTCTAGAATAACTTAACAGTAAAAATAATGCAGCAACAATAAATATAATATATGAGAAGCATTCATCCACAGTGTCACTTTCTTTTGTTTGTAAAGAAATACTAAAACTCTGCTTTTTGGTCCCTTGTATCATAATTTTGCTTTCTCCTGGTAAAATCTGATTTTGGTTTTACTCCTGGGACTGTATTACGGCTTCACTTTTGCAGTAGATTTTATTGAACTATTTATTAATAAATGCTTTAATTTTGTCTATTTTTGTATCAGACTTTCTCCAAACAAACAAAAAACTGTAAGTCACACCTACTACCAATGTGTCGATTCCAATTCATAATGACTCTGATGAACAGAATAGAATTGACTCTGAATTTCTGAGACTTTAAATGGTGAGTGGAGCAGAAAGCTTCCTCTTTTTCCAAAGGAAGGGCCTGAGGGGTGTGAACTGCTAATCTTGTGGTTCTAGAAGCTCATGCACAGCCAACTGCACCACTAACTAGGGCTCCTTAAAAAGGTGTTAATAAAACAAGCAAACAACAAACCCAAGTCACTGCACAGAATCAGTTCAGACTCAAAGCAACCCTCTGGGAATAGGGTAGAATTGCCCCTGTGGGTTGGGTTTCTGAGATTGTAACTTTTCATGGGTGCAGAAAGCCTCATCGTTCTGCAGAAGAAAAGGTGTTAATAGATTAAGTCACGTAGGAAAGTTTGATTTACTGCAGGATGACATTTCTATTACTAGTACATATAGTGGCAATCAGTTTTCTTATTGTGTGTTAATTTCTCATGGTATATAATTTTGTCCTCCACTGCTGCTAAACTAGCAGTTTCATTTTCCTTTGTGTTTTTTTCCTTGCATCAAACAAGATTAGTAGATATTTAGATTATTTGAACAAGTCCTTAGACTCTAAAGCATGTAAAAAGCTAGGAAGGTTTCATTTAAATCAACTATTTGAAACTCTCACACACCCCTATTTAGCATTAGGGAAGATTTGGTGTTTTCTAGGATTTGGAGTAAACATAGTCTTTCCACTCTGCTTCTATCCTGTGTCACTTCAGTCTACTGGTAAAACAAGTATTTATAGGGTCACTCAATCATCTGAGTGTCCAAACAATTTAATAAGATTCAATTTGAGGACCTTGAAAATCTAGAAAAAGCCTTCGTATCATTATGAGGTGAGGAACATTGGTTTCCTGACCTCAGGAAGGCAAGAGAAAGCACTACAAGTAACGTGTATTCTGAAAGTTTAGAGAGAGAGTATTGTCCTTGGAAGGTTTGAAGGCCTTCTCTTGCTTGAGTGACCATCATTATTCTCAGTAAGTCTATGGTGTGATACTTGTATTAAGAAAAACTGT